AATTCGGCCACACGAGCATCGCGGGAGGACAGGACGCCGGCGCACGAGAGGAGACCTGGGAAGCTATTGCAGTGGAGGTAAGAAAAGACAGACAGGGGAGAGACAGCAGAGAAAGTGAGAGAAGAGACAGCAGAGAGAGAGAGAGAGAGAAGAGACAGCAGATACAAACAGGGGAGAGAGCGAGGAGAGAGAGAGAGAGAGAAGAGACAGCCAAGAGAGAGGGCCGGTTCACACCACAAAGTCTGCGTTCCGGAGTGGTCGGCCTCTAGAACAAACTGGAATGCAAGCCGGCCGGCACCCAGTGTTCAGGGGCGGGAGGGGGGGTGTATTGAAATCAATGGCACCGCAGCCACGCCCCCCCGCCCACAGTGCGATCGCCCGCACCCGGAACACAGGCACATTAGTACCTGCATTCCAGTCCAGTGCGATCTGCAAAAATAGTGCTTGCAGCATTTTTGCAGATCGCACTGGACCGAAACGGGTGCGGGCGATCGCACTGTCGGCGGGGGCGTGGCTGTGGTGCCATTTACTTCAATGCACCGCTATGCCCCCTACCGCCCCTGAATGCAGGTTTTTTTTCATTGGTAGAGCTCATTGAGCTCATCATTTGAAAAGTAGATCTCCAGACGACAAATTATGGGGCCCCCTGTTCTAAGCCACATTAATAGCCAGTAAAACCACTTATCTTTGTGATGACCAATTGTGAGACTCAAGTGAAGGAAACAGGTATGGCTTCTCAATATGGATACAAGCTGCAAAAAAGGGCAACTACTTTAAAGGTTTCCACAGCTGAACTAACTCCAGGCATACAGACTGTGTTACCCACAATAGGATACAGCCAGACAGCACAACTTGTTCAAGAACATACCGTACCTCAAATCTCAGTGAAAGGACAACAGCACAGTGATAAGTGGTTTCTCTGGCTGCTATCAATATATATTTCAGTATTTGCAGTTAGGGTTGCCATCTTTTCTTCAAGCCAAACCCAAGCAATCTAGCGCCGCGCTAATAATTTTATATAAAAATCGAAGATTTTTTTTATAGAGTATACACAATGCATATATTTTGTGATTATATAACATTTGAGTTATGTGCAATAGTGCATACCTGGGTCACCTATGGCATCTTTTGTGAGGGCTTATTTTATGTGCAATAGTGCATACCTGGGGACACGTCACAGGTCCCCAGATATGCACTATTTTACAAAAAACTATGCACTATTAATCTCCAAAAACGACTGTACTTCACAGCCTGCCTTGCGCCAATAAGATTAATAAGCTGCATGCACCCAATCTAAAAAGTTTTAAACCAAAAAAATGTGTACATGGTGCCATGCTTCCAATATCCACAATCACTCAAAACAATTTACCACAAGTATCCATGTATAATGAATTATATAAATCACTGTGTATTCGTAACTCAATTTGCAGAGCAATATACACCACTCTGCGGCAATGCAATTAACTTAAAAAAGTATTCACATTTATAGTGCAATCCAAACACTGAAGTGCTCCAATTAGTGCAGTCTCATGTATGTCTTCAATTAGAGGTTTCCGCCATCACTCCTCATTCACATAGTGTCTTCAAAACAAGGTGCCACCACCTCTCCTCATGTGTTAAACCCTTAGGCCGGGTTCACACCTGGGCGTTTTACAGCGCTGGTCGACGTGCTGTAAAACGCTCAAACAGTGAAATCCCATACTTCCCTAAGGGCATGGCTCCCACCTGGGCGTATTTCAGCCCGTGGAAACGCGCTGAAAAACGCCCTACACCCAAACAAGTACAGGAGCTTCTTTGCAGCGTTTTTTCCGCGCGTTTCCATTGGTATTCCCGAGTGTGGCTTGGGGTTAACAAAGCGGTAACCCCGAGCCACACTTGGGAATACAGCGTAGGACTTGTCCGTGATCCCCGCTGTGTCCTCCGGCGGCTGCAGACTTCCGGGTTCCGTCCCTTGCGAGCGGCCGTGTTGCAGGGGGCGGAGCCAGCGGAAAGTTTGAAAGTGAAAAAATAAAAAACGAATTTTAAAAATAGAAAAAAATAAGGGGAAAAAAAAATCATACCACCAGTGAAACGCACGTTTCACTGAACGGAAAAACGTCCTAAAAACACGAAAAAAACAAGCTGAAAAACGAGCAGAAAAAATACGCCCAGGTGTGAACCCAGCCTTAAAGGAAAACCGCTCGCTTATTCCACAGACCTCTGAAACAAGGTCTGGATATAGCTGGTCCCCTCTCACCCTCCGGTCAGTGGGGACGCACCTCCAAGCTCTGAGTCTTGCTTATATCAGAATCCTTTTTAGCCATAAATGTGAAAAGTACTTTCTTTTTAGTTAATTGCATTGCCGCAGTATTTTGAGCACTGTTGCACATAATAGATGCCCCCACAAAAGATGCCACAGGTTGCCGGTGGCATTTTTTATAGGGGCATCTTTTATGTGCAATACTAAACCCCACCCCCTTTCAATTGCTAGAAATATATTCTAGAGACCGCAAAGTGCGTGGTGGGGCCGCGGGATGATTATCTCCTCTTTCCCTCTGATGTCACTTCCTCTCTGCACTGCTGCAGAGGAAAGAAAGAGGGAGGGACGACCTGGCACAGTGAGAGGAGCCGACAACTGACAGCGCCGGCGGTACATGCGGTTTACTTAGGGAGCCACAGTCCGATTTGAATAATGTGTCAGGGCATCAGGTGGGCTGAATCCTGGGCACATGATTCCAAAACCGGACTGTCCGGGTGAATCCCCGACGGGTGGCAACCCTAGTTGCAGTTAAAAGTACTTTTAGTGAGTTTAATGCATACATTACTGCACTCATTTGTGTAATTTCTGCCTGAAATTCAGCTTTAATTTGACCAAAAATCAAAGCATACATGGGTATTTTTTTTAACTCCCATGCCCTTCGGAACAGCTGTGTCCAAAGCTAAATTTGTAGCTAAAAGAAGAATGTGGAAACAAGTGTGTGTGTGTATGTGTAATATATA